TTTAGAAAAAAATAGACAAAAAATGTATAAAAGTAAAGAGAAAATAAAGAGAAAGTAACTAAGCTGATGTCCTGTCCGTTCGTTCACAATACAAATACGCCACAGTAAATTAAAACTACATTAAAACATTACTAAAAAATGTTGCCCCCCCCTAGAAAGTTAATCGATTTTTTGCCCCCCCCCCAGAAAGTTTTCTGCGGGCGCCCATGGTTACTAAATATTTTGTGACAATTTACTACATTTTTACAGCTTATTACCAGGCTGACCCAACATTGTGACTTATATACAAAATATTGTATGGCTTTTAAAAGGCCATTACTTGTCTACTTCATCACAAATTCAACTTGGTGAACAATTTTAATAATAAAACTAATTTTGGCCGAAAAACTCCCAATTATCTCCACCCACCCCTCACAAAAACAAAGTAATGAGTCAATGATAATATAATAAATTATTTCAAATTTATACTTATACAATGTCATTATCATTCAGCTTGTTATAAATTATTTGTAACATATTATGACCCTGAACTGGTTTATTTATGCTTATCTTATGCTATGTTTACTCACTTTGTCTAGGCCCTAGGCCTAATTGAAATGCAATTTTATGGAAATATAGGGCCAGTAGGCCATCATGCAGCTTTCACTGAGTATTAGTCATTTAACATACAATGACAGCAAGACGTTGAGCACTAATGAATATCAGATTGTCGGCCTAGAGACAGACAGTCTGACTTCTGGTAGATGACCGAAAACCTCAGTCACTTTCGGGAAGTCTCAGTCAATTTCGGCTGAAACCGAAACTAAGCCGAAAGTTAACTTTTCAGTTTCAGCCGAAACCTTAACTAGGCCGAAAGTGATCAAATGGCCAATTTCGGCGCCGAAACCGATATTCGGTCGGTCTCTAAAACATGCCCACGACCTATTTTTATATCTCTTGTTGCCCATAACATGCCTAGAACTATGGCTACATCTCCTGTTGCCCATAACATGCCCACAACCTATGGCTAAATTTCTTGTTGCCTTGAACATGCCCACGCCCTGTTTCTATATTACTTGTTGCCCAAATCATGCCCATGACCTATGGGCCCAGTATAGCCAACCAACGCGATGCAAATATCATCCTGCACTGATTCCTAATCCGGGTCACCATAGCAACAGATGTGTCCATTACACGTGCCAATGTTCTATTATTGAGCCGTAAGATTTTACAATAAAAAGTTACACCAATTGCGAATCCGTTCAAATGACTAGTACACAGAGCTCATCTTTAGTTTATGTAATTTTAAAGTATTGCACTACTATACGAATGGTAATAAACCTGTTTTAAAATAAAACTCTCTTTGTTTATTTTATCTTACATCGTTCAGGTGGTGTCGCCATGACAACGCAAATGCTTGCGACGCAGTGCTCACGTGACCCACCGCTTCATCTGTGTATGGCGTTTCAGCCTCGCTGGGCCTAACATGGTGGACACGAGCCGGCGCGAAGAAATGGACACCGCCTGGTCTTGGGTTGTCCTGGGTGCCAGCTGGCTGTCCTTATATGTGTCCACACTTTTAACTGCTGGAGGGGGGATTATACAAGTGGGTTGTGTTGGGATGCATGTGTTAAAAATTATATTTATATATATATATATTGGTTGGTTGTAAGGTTGTTATTAGGGTAATTATTCCTAGCGTCTGTCTGGGTCAGAGGCGTAGCGAGGGTGTTTGGCACCCGGGGACAAGATTCGCGCCCGGGGACAAGATCCATTTTAAAGCGCTCCTTTTTCTTTTTTTTTCAACTCTCAAACCCATTATTTTCATCAATAAAATAATATCAAAGCACATTTTGGCGCCCCTAACTAGCTGGCGCCCGGGGACATCTGTCCCCAGTGCCACCCCCCTCGCTACGCCTCTGGTCTGGGTGCATTGTAAGTGTGATATTTCGCCAATATTGAACACATATTGAAATGAGTACGAGTTTAAGACATTGGTTCATAATCATTTTAACTCACGGAGTGCTTTTAAGAATAAATTTCTTAAGGAACGCCTTCTTAGGCCTACCCTGTGTCTCACACGTTAATAATGTTAAGGTGTTTCCCGGAGCAGGCGCGGGGCCCCTCAGAAGTGCATGCAGATCCCAGGAGCACAGGTTGGGAACCGCTGGTTTAAGCTTTAAGTTGTGGCTTTGATTAATGAAAAATTCAGCGATGCTTTATTGTTTTCTAAGCATAGAAGAGTTTCTTTGGGTCAAGGTTCAACTTCCCAATTCATTTTCAGATCTACAGTTAAACTCTAAAAAATAAATAAATATTACTTACATTGAACTTAAGCAAATTTAAGGCATAAATAGTCTCTCACTCTCTCTCTCTCTCTCTCTCTCTCTCTCTCTCTCTCTCTCTCTCTCTCTCTCTCTCTCTCTCTCTCTCTCTCTCTCTCTCTCTCTCTGTAAATATAAAATAAACTTTTAAAATGTAATAGTAATAACTATTTTTTTAAAAAATGAATTAAAACAATTTATGTTACCCCCATAACTCATAGCTGCTTTCTTGAAATCCCAAGGTTGAAATAATTGATGACCTGGATGTTGGGTCAGGGGTCATTTCAGTTATGACGTCAATAGCTCTAGGAATGGCCTGTCTTTTAGGTGAGTGGCGTGTCAATAATGAAACAAGCTATAAAATGAACCCCTAAACTCAGTATTTCAATTCTCACTGACTACTTTCTATCATTAGTAAAGAGTTATTTATTTATTTTTTTTACCAATCAGAGTTCAGCAACTACAAAATGAATGCATTTTTTAAAACAATATGAGCAATTATTTATTTTTAGATGTATTACATTACGTGTTTCATCTTTGTCAAGAGAAAAGTTCTTTTTATGACAAGTCTTTTATACAACTTTGGTAAGGAAAAATTATAATGCAAGACCCTGCTCTATTTGTGTGGTGCAGCCTTTAAACTTTAAGCTTTGAGGATTGATCTTTACTTAAAGTTAGAGGTTTGAAAAAATAATATACGTCTAGACTTTGACGAGAGCTTCAAATCTCAACATTTTAGAAGATATCAGAATCCTTGCTCGATACATTCAGAGATCTGATAGTTATTATTATAATTATTTTTATTTGACCATTGAAAAGCATCTTTTTCAGTCCCTTACCAAAGCCATCTCCAGTTAGTCCAGTAGCTGTAATTAGTGTAATTCACAAGTTATTTAAACCTGATGTAACCATTATTTCTTTGAACAAGTCTTGCAGGCAGACATGTATAAAAGTAGGTTTTAGCGTGGTGAAGCCCTGAAGTCTTGTCTCATAATTTCCTCAGGTCCACTCAGTGGCATCCTGTCCAGTTTGTTGTCTGCCCGGTATGCCATATTCTTGGGTGTCGTCCTTATGTCCCTCGGACTACTTGGTGTCAGCATGTCCCGATCCTTGCCCTTAATGATTTTTTTCTATGCGGTGGTCACAGGTTGGTTCATAATGTTGGGTGGTCACAGGGTGGTTCATAATGTTGAATCTTTCTTTTTTTAATGTGTTCACAGATGAAAGTTTCTTTTTTTAATGTGTTCACAGATGAAAGTTTCATTTTTTAATGTGTTCACAGATGAAAGTTTCTTTTTTTAATGTGTTCACAGATGAAAGTTTCTTTTTTTAATGTGTTCACAGATGAAAGTTTCTTTTTTTAATGTGTTCACAGATGAAAGTTTCATTTTTTAATGTGTTCACAGATGAAAGTTTCTTTTTTTAATGTGTTCACAGATGAAAGTTTCTTTTTTTAATGTGTTCACAGATGAAAGTTTCTTTTTTTAATGTGTTCACAGATGAAAGTTTCTTTTTTTAATGTGTTCACAGATGAAAGTTTCTTTTTTTAATGTGTTCACAGATGAAAGTTTCTTTTTTTAATGTGTTCACAGATGAAAGTTTCTTTTTTTAATGTGTTCACAGATGAAAGTTTCTTTTTTTAATGTGTTCACAGATGAAAGTTTCATTTTTTAATGTGTTCACAGATGAAAGTTTCTTTTTTTAATGTGTTCACAGATGAAAGTTTCTTTTTTTAATGTGTTCACAGATGAAAGTTTCTTTTTTTAATGTGTTCACAGATGAAAGTTTCTTTTTTAGTGATAATACTATTTTATTTTTTTATAAAAATTAATTTAATAAAGATTTTAGCCTATACACAGTTTAAATCAGGGGTTCTTAAACTCTTTGCAGTGCCACACCTCCTCATGATTTCAAAAGATATTTCCCACAACCCCAAAAATTAAAAATGCTTATCATAATATTAATAAACTGATAAAAACCCAAATTCCCCAAAGAGGATCTGCATTCTTAGGGGTGCGAGCAACCTCTTTTTAACAACCCCTGATTTATATTTTCATATTTTTTCTTTCTTGTTTGCTCTTTAAAAGTAATTAATGCTGTTAAACTACTTAAACTTGCGATTATGTAATAGACATTTTAAAATAATTTTTTTGGCTGCCTTGCCATATTAATAATTTTTAAATTAGAGGAAAAAAAAAATTCTTTGGAAAGGATCAGTTTTGAAATACCTGTAAAGTAAAAGAGATGAAAAAGTAATAGTTGTAATACGAATTAATTTTTGAAATATTCTGCAGGAATTGGCTATGGAATCAGCTACTCTCCACTGGTTGTGGTGATAAGCTTCTACTTTGATAAACACAGGATTCTAGCCAATGGAATTCTCTTGTGTGCCTCAGGGACAGCTGTTTTCTCACTTCCTTATCTATTAAACTACGTCATAGAGTTCAACGGATGGAGATATGCAATGGCTCTGAATGGGGCCGTTCTCTTGCATATACTTATCTTCTCTTCAGTTTTTTTCCCTACAGAAATAGAGCGTAGAAGCATGCTAAAAACAGATTTATTTTGTTTCTGGAGGCGCTGGAACCAGAACAACCCCCCACCAAATTCTTTCGTGTCACATACATCGGATGAGAAAGAGGCTTCCGTAGCTGACAGTCAAGAGAGCACACTGCTGCAGTCTGTACCCACCAAATTTCAGCCTGTTGTGACGTCAAAATCTTTCATGGACTCCTGTGGATTAATTTATTCATCACAAAAGTTTGGTGTGGAAAACATATCCTCAAATGGCTTTGTCCATAGCAGCTCAAAGTTGAAGAGTGATTCCCTACCTGTAGATAGTGAGGATCTAAACACAAGTGCGGTAGATTATAAGGATATTATAGAAAAACAGGAAGAAATATTTTTTGCCAGACAGTATTCAGAAGTCTGCAGCGGGTCATCCATAAGTTTAAGCACTGAACTTCCTGCTCGCCAGCAAGCAGTCTATACATTTGGGCAACTGAGAAAGGACAGGGATCATGCCGGGAGCAGTCTTGTCTGGGTTTCTTCTGTCAGCGGAAGTTCTATGATCATTCCGATGAAAATAGAAGAAATAGTCCCTGTAAAGGATGACGGTCAAATAGGTCTCAAATCAAAATTGAAAAGGTGGTCTTAAAGATTTATTAATTATGATCCACAAACTTAAGGACAGAAATATTAGGAGGTATTATTTGCTCTAGACAAATGAAGCATGGGGTCCCAAGCGTAAAAAAAAAATGTATCTAATACCGGTAATAAGAGAGTAGACAACTGCAGCCTTACCCTAGTGACAGCCAAGGGTACTAACTGTGCCACTTAGCATTTACTTTAATAAATATTTACTAGAATTATTGCACTTTGCACTACTTTCTTGTGTATGAAGATAAAACTAACCTAATTGGAAAGTTATATTGTATCTAAAAAAAATGCTCTTTATATAAGGAGTCTTACTTTTTAAAAAAATTTTTTTTGTTTGTTTAATAAAAATTAAAAATAATTGATTTTGACTTTGAGATTCTAAAAAAAAGTGATTACTCTTTGCTTTCTGTCAGAGTTTGCAAGTCTAAAGCGATATGGATCCTCAATATCAACTCGATGCTGTTCATGGCTGGGAGTGGCATTCACACAGTTCATTTTGCTTCATACGCTCAGAGCAAAGGAATGGGCCGACTACAGGTCTCTGAATTCTACATGGTGTATGGTATTGTCATCATGTGTGGAAGATTGTTAGGGGGCGTAGTATTTAACAGGTGAGTCTGGTTGATTTTTAAAGTTACTTATTGTTATCTGGTAAATTTTAAGACATTTTTTATGTTTAGTTCCTTTTCATTGATTTAGAAGGTTTTCTTTGATCTATTGTAATAAGTTTAAATAAGTGGATTTCATTGAACTTCATTCACAATTAAACATTTTTTAATACATTTTTTTGACTTTTAAAACCTGTACAAATTATTTTATAACTAGATTTTGAAACTGGAAATTAGGGCTTCTTTTGCTTAATATTTTAAAAAGGTCAACCAACGTATAGAGCTAATAATTTTTGTACTTTGATATTTAAAGTTAATTTAAAAGTATTTTGAGCTAAATTTATTTGCAAGTGCAGTATACTTATTTGTTTTTCCCTATATGTTCTTTTTATTGTAAAATTGTACTTTTTTTTATCTCTGCTATTTGCATTTCAGAATGAAGCCACCCCTGGTACTAGTTATGTTTATTCTTCAGTTCCTGAATGGACTCTTCTTAGGGTTTGCTCCCTTTTATGCCAACACAGTTGATGGGATCTTTGTTATGGAGGTTTGAAAATGTTACAAGAGCTGAATCTGAAATGAAAAAAGCATCTTCACACTTACTCTAGGCTTTATAGTTTGCTCTTTGATATGTACATGAAATCACTTTGGGATAAAGTTGGCCTTCATTCTCTGCTCTACCAGATGCATATGACATCAGTTAGGGATAAAGTTAGCTTTTTTATGTTTATAGCTGCCCAAACCATTTCTTTTTATCTTCCTATTAAAAAAAGTTAAATTAATATAAAAATAAATTTAACCATACAAAGTAATTGTATAGTCTATTTTGACCTCCTCAGGCTGGGATCGGTCTTCTCTATGGACAGTCATACATGCTGCTGTCTCCCATCCTGGCTCAAATTCTGAGTGTCAGTGACCTGCCTATTGCTTTTGGTGTCAACCATTTGTTTATTGGAGTTGGCTATATTACAGCCCCTATACTAGCAGGTTAAAAAATTCAAAAACTCTCTTTCACAAAATGTCCCCCTGAAATGATTCAAATCTGTTTCCAAGGTAGCATCCTAGTTAGTGTGTCATGATGACAAAGAATTAAATATGGTTAATGCTGAAATATTGGAAAATATAAAGAAAAAAATTAGCCTGAACATCCACAAAAGATTTTTTAAAAACACAAGAAATATCTGGATGGCTTCATTGGCTTAGAAACAGAAGGCACAAAACTCACTCCATCGGCACAAGAATTATAGAAGATGGAAATGAGAGTAAAACTGTTAAAAAAAAAAAAGAGTTTGGAAACATTATTGTCTCATTTAATAATAGGCTAAGTGGGTCAATAATATAAATACAAGGATGGTGATCTTAATTATGGTGAACAGGAGATACTTTTTTTTAGATGAAAGCTATTTTGATTGGAAGTTTTATTTGATATTAGATGTCATGTATTTTACCTATGATTCCTGTCTCTTTAGGTTTCATTTATGATGCTACACATACCTATGATATTGCTATGTACATAGCTGGTAAGCCTTTGTATGTTAGTCTATAAATGAACTTGATCTAAAAAATATAAGTTTAAAAATTATGGAGAAAAATAACTTAGGAAAAGGTCATGAAGGGTGATTATTACCTGAGTTGTTTTAGTAACTTAGTGCCTGCACTCATTGGTGGAAAAAAAAAGTTTCTGTCTATTGAAAGAAATGTGTATGTTATCTGTGTTTTGTAGTTTTTGTTTTTGGAGGGGTGGGGGTTGATTATGAACTGATAATTTTACATTGGGCTGTCTTACTTGATTTCAAAGTGTTGATACAAATTTATTTATCTAAATTATCTCTTAAGATTTCTACAAAATGTTTCCCATCAAAATAAATTATTTTACAGCATTTATATTAATGTTTTTAAAAAAATTTAATAACAAATCTGTCTTTTGTCTATTTTTAGGCTCATGTACTGGTTTTGGGGCCCTGACATTGATAGTCATGAGATTTCTCCAAACATGAACAGTTAAAATAACCAAATTGGAAGAAATTTTAAAAATACTGTTATTAATACATGAAAAGCTGTATTTTAAATGCAAAGGAATAAATACAGTTTAACTCTGTATAATTTATAGCCTGTTAAGAATTATTTTATGCATAATAATTTGTCTTGTGTGAGGACTTTAATTTCCTGTACCAATTAGAAATGAAAATGCTCTACTAGGAAAACTATTTTAAAAAATATTTATAAAAAAAGGATGACTCATTTTTATGCAATCTGAGGAGATTAAGAATTCAGATTTGTATTAAGTTAAAATTAAGAGCAGATTTTATATAAAGATATTTAATTCACTTGATTCTTAAACTTTTGAAGAACATCTTAAACTTTATTGTCACTTTTATTGTCACAGTAAGATTCTTAGATTTTGTAACCATGATATAGTTACTAGTTTTGGATAAAATCAATTTTATTACTTCATGACTGTTCTGTAAGAAGGCTCTGTACTATGAAGTTCAATACATAAAGAATGGCATTCCATTTAAATAATGAAATAATGTATTAATCCAAAATGTATTTGAATCGCAGTGTATGAATGTGTAAATAAATTCCTATAAACCATGTTGGTGGCATGGTTTAAAAGTTCTAAATCAAGGTTCTAAGAAACTTTCTTGTTCATACAACTGTTCTTTTAAATATACATGTATATCTTATCTTATATAAATATATATATATATTATATTTATATAATATATATATAATAATAATAATAAAGTTCATTTCAAAAACACGCTTCATCCCCAAAGGCTCGAAGCGCGAATATATATATATATATATATATATATATACCTATATATATATATATATATATATATATAAATTATATATATATATATAAATATATATATATATATATATATATATATATAACGCTTCATCCCCAAAGGCTCGAAGCGCGAATATATATATATATATATATATATATATATATATATAATATACATATGGCATCCTTCTGTCTTCAAAAGACATTGGAGTAGCTATTGAAACTTCATCAAATGGCTTACAGGGCTGATCCTGGAATGGCAGACTCGGCTGCACTTCTTGTAGGACACTTGACTCCTGGTTAAATTTGGCCTTCCGTAAGGCTCGTTTTGTTGCAAGGGCTTCGTTAAATTAAGTAGTTAAATTATTAATTATAATATTAAAGCTCCTGTTTGTAATAGATGATTTTTTTTCCTAGGAGTAAAAGGCCCATGAAATGTCACAGAGATTGCTGATAAGATATTTTAACAAAATGCAATTTAAATTATTGTTGTCATTCGATGGCTTGATTTCATGAATTTTCGGTAATGGGAGGTGGGGGAGGGGGGAGGGAGAAATCGGTTTGTCGATTCTTTTTTTAAGATCCGATCGCAATTTATATAAATTATTATTGTTACTTAATATAAATAATAACTGCCTCAGATTATTATGTTTTGGAAATAAAATTTTAACTTTTCTGAACTTGTTGGCTAATATGACGTACTTCTGTAAATTATTTTCTTTTATGGTCATATTAATTTTTTGTTTGTTTGGACAACTAGTCCACGGCAGACTGCTGCCAGTGTACCAGTATCTAATTTAGCTGAAGATCTTGACCTATGACCTAGCCCTAGTTGTATCTCTGGTTTGTTAATATATTAAATAGTTCATGTCGGCATTCATTCATTGTCAGATCTAAGCTGGAGTTTTTCTTTTTTTTTTTCGGGGGTGGGGGTGGGGGGTGGGGGTGGGGGGTGGGGGTGGGCATAGGCTCATGACTCATGATCACCGTTTTTGTGCAAATATTTTTAAAGGAAGATATTAATTTTTTTACTGCTGGGTTATTGGCCTTATCTTTGTCTTAACAGGCACAGTCTGTTTTTGTGTTGATATTCGTTCAGTAGTTGAAATGGTCTACACAGGATACGATCAGCTTATAAAAGAAGCTTTTACGAACTTAACTCTGACTTAAATTTAAAGGTGGACATAGGCTCATGACTCATGATCACCGTTTTTGTGCAAATATTTTTAAAGGAAGATATTAATTTTTTTACTGCTGGGTTATTGGCCTTATCTTTGTCTTAACAGGCACAGTCTGGTTCTGTGTTGATATTCGTTCAGTAGTTGAAATGGTCTACACAGGATACGATCAGCTTATAAAAGAAGCTTTTACGAACTTAACTCTGACTTAAATTTAAAAAAAAAAATAAGAAAATTAATGGGGGAAAAAACAACAACAATAATACTTCTACTTCTCTCCTCTGGAAAAAAAAAAATAATATTGAACACCGTTTTACCAACTTTGAACTTTTTGTTGTTACGATACTGAAGAGAGATTATAAAGAAAATTTGAATAACGACTCTTTTACTTTTCGGTTACGGGCCTTACTAAGACCTGTTGCAGCCTATGGCGTTGTTATATATTTGTCTCAAGGGAACATCAGTGGATTTTTAAAAAAAAAGTTGAGTAGTTTTAAACATTACATTAACTAAATAAATGTGGATGTTGTATATTTATGATTTCAAATAGATAAAATAATAAAAAGGTAACAGAAGTTAATGTTTAAAAATCAATTCATTTGGAAATAACCTTATACTTATACTTATAAAAAAACAAAAAATTTAAAATCGCACCAAGACGCACCAAGTTTGAACAGTTAGTGATGTCACTCGAGGCGCTGTTGTTATTGTCCTTGTAGTGATATGGAAGGAGGCTTCCGGCCAACCCGACAAAAGTGCAGGCTTGTTTCTCTTTACCATCATTGAAATTCAACACAATAACTAGGCGAGGTGAGAATACAACCAAATTAAAACTTTGATAGATTATTATTTTGTTTTGAAAAATCCTGGTCCAGAATTTTAACATCATTTTGAATCTGTCTGGACGGGGCATAGCCATGAAAGGTCGGGTTACCATATCCGGTGGTAAAATGAACATCGTCCCCAAAAAGCACATGCTTCGCTGACGTTACATTTTAACACGTTCAAACAGCTGTAACCGAGTCGTCCAGTGAACTAGTGTAAAACATCTAATCACCCACAGACTTGACCATGGAGGGTGATATACTCCACGCTAAAAAGGCAGAGATTATGCATAAGCCCAAACTGTCCGGCCCCGAGTCTGGCCCGACGAAGGAGAATTTGATCCAGTCCATCATCAGGACGGTAACGCAACCTTTATCCACGATGATGGAGTCCTCCAGCGTACACGCCCAGCGCAGAGAATTGTCAGAGAAGACTTGCTTCGTCCCGAACGGTGTGATTGTCCACATCACGGCCGGGGCGTGCCCGCCCACTGCACCCCCGTGTCGGGACCCAGTAGGTGAGTCGTCCAACATGGACGAGATGGACTCGAAAGATGAAAAGCAAGAAGACGAAGCATGCGAAGATGACGAGGAGGAGTGCGAAGACGACGAGGAGGAGGAATGTGACGAAGAGGAAGGTTCAGAGGAGGAAGATGAGGAGGAGTGTGAAGATGAAGAAGTTGAAGAAGAGTGTGAAGAGACCGAGGAGCCAGTGTCGAGGCCGGCACCTCCCCCTCCAGTCACTCCCCCTAAGATCGAGGAGGACGAATGCGAGGAATGCCCTATCCAAGAGAGCGCCACCGACGAGTTTTGCAAAGAGCTTCCCGATAACGAGGATAAGTTTCCAGAGGGCAGTCCGTGCGTAGAGATACCTCAGTGGGAGAGAAAGAAGAAAAACAAAGTGATCGAAGGAGAATGCATCGCTGAAGACGAACTGAAAATGATATGTAAAAAATACAGAGCCTACGACAAAAGGCCAGCGTGGAAGGAGAGCTCAAAGGACAAAAAGAAACCCGTTTGCACATGTGAACCCGATGAAGAAGAGGAGGAAGAGATGCCCGATGTCTGCTCCATGGAAAAAAAGTTCAAAGACCCACTAGCTGAGTGCGATGACTCCGACGCAGAGGCCGAGGAGCAGGGCGCAGAAGAGGTTGCGGTGGAGGAGGAGGAGGAAGAAGAGGAGCCCTTGTTTTTCGACGAGGATCAAAATAGCTGCCCGAAATGCAAAGGTTTGGTTGTGCCCCCTTGTGAAGCAGTAGAAAAACCCCAAGAAAACGTCTGCAGTGAAGACGTGCCCTATTTTTCACCCACTCAGCATTCTGTCCCTTGGAATAAGGAGCCCAGGCCCCCAGCGAAACCAATACAAAAAATTCCACCAAAAACGGTAACCGTCTCCGGATCCTACTATGGGGAGCCGAAACAGAAGAAAAGAATAGATGTGCAGGCACAGAAGAAACAAACCTCCAGTCACACCAACATCTATGCCAGTGAAGGAGTGTTCGACAAGGTACAGCCACTCACTGAAACAAATAACGAGAGTCTCAAGAGAAAAGGGGTCAAGCATATCTCTCGAAAATCTGACCGCCTTGCCGACCCGTACTTTGGCCCCTACAAATCTCCCAATTACAACAACAACTACAATGTCGGCGGCGTGCACGAATATTCCAGCGAGTACACCGGAAGCCACGTCATTGAACACAGCGACAGTGAAAGTAGTGCCTACACCACGTACGTTAGGACAGCCCCGTCTACGGAGGAGGCCAGCGGCGGGTTCTGGCACGGCAGCTACGATGGCGTCTCGGTGGTGGCTCGACGTGATGATAGTTCAGATGACAAACACGTCTACGCGAAGGGAGCTGACGTTGCCAGAGCGAGCGTCGGATTTGTTGACAGTGAGGACGCAGTTGAGTACTCCAAAGAGGCAACACGCGTGGAAGACAACGCAGCAGAATATTCAACCGAGCCAGAGTACTCTGACTTTACTGTGTCAGATACAAATAACCAACACTGCCTCCGTGGTAATGACATCGATGAAGCGATGAATGTTATGTCGCCCTACACCGCCAACGCCATCATCGCAAACTCTGGCAAGTACAACGGTTACGAGATTGCGTGCATCGGGGATGAGGATATTTATTTCGAAAAAGGTGATGAGATCGAAAGCTTATCTGATGCCAGCTACTGTAGCTCGAATGAAAAGTCCCCCAAGATTGAGCAAGTGTTTAAACAAGATGGTCAGAATATCCTGGCAGGGATCAAAAGTGAAGAGTCCCCCGATTGCGCATCGTGTGCATCGAGTATCAGCGACCGGGACTCCTCGCCGGACGGGAGGTATAGATCGCCGCATAGAGTCCGTGCTTCAAACTCGGAACGATTCATCATTGAATCCCTGGAAGACTGCGAGGACGAATCGGATATAGAGGCCATGCTGATCCCTAAAGTGTCCAGCATGTCTGCCCTCGCGGACCAACCCGATGACAACATCACGCCACTATCGATCAAACTAGCGTCGTTCACCTCGAGCCCAATTGAGAACTTTAAGCGGCTGTTTACCACGTTCACCAAAAAAGCCCTGGGTATAGAGGACGACTACGCGCCAAAAACAGAGAGTCGCCGAGAAAGTGTCCGAAAGGAACATCTATTGAGAGATGGAGAGAAACGGAGCATAAAGAGGGACCACTCTAGGAGTGTGACAATCACCCCGGAGACATATGGTCCAGAGATAACGATCGTTAATGATACACCACCAGCCCCTGCTGCAGATGCCGTAGGCTCAGAATCAACCAGTCAACCAACTGTTCCTTCCAAGGACGCGGTTGAAAATTCCAACGAGGATAAGTCCCCTGCAAGCAGAGATGAAGAAAAAGATAACCCATTGAACTTTCAGAATGTACTTAGCCGCATTGTGGATGCTTTCAAACCGTCTGAACCAAGGACCTATAACGGCCCTTACCGAGAAGGAACGAGGCAGTTCAAACGAGCTGCCAGTACGTCACCTGGCAGAACCAAAAAGAGCAATGCCCAAAAGAAAAATAAAACACCTAAAAATCCAAAAATCTTATCGGAATGCACAAATAATGAATCTCCAAGAAAAGTTGCCAGTGTTGTTCCAAGAAAAGTCGTGGAGGTTGACCAATCCTTCGAAAGGGCCATCGTTCCCAGAAAAGCCCCGGAGGTTGAGCAAGTCATCGAAAGAGCCATCGTTCCCAGAAAAGCCCTGGAGGTTGAACAAGTCATTGAAAGAGCCATCGTTCCCAAAAAAGCCATGGAGGTTGAACAGGTCATCGAAAGAGCCATTGTTCCAAGAAAAGTTGTGTCCCCGGTTTCGTCGGTGATAGCGCTGCAAGAAAAGGAAACGCACCCAAAAGAGATGAAAAGTAGTGAAGTCGCAGTGAGTGAAAGAAAAGAACTCGCCAAAAACCAACCTAAAGGCCGGAATTTTACTTTCGGATTCTTTCATAACACACGAGTGCCCAAAAAGGAAGAGAAAATTACAAAGAATACATCGCTGGCCTTTCGTGCATTGAAGAGCAAGAGCGACAAAATGTTGACGGCAAATGATGAACCAGAAGTGAGAGTTCTGCCTTTTCTATCTAGGAATAATAAGAGGACTGGAACCCAACGAGAACAAACCATTTCGAAGCCAACGTTTGAAAACAAAGCACGTGTGACAAGTACTGACATAGAGCTTCCACAAGAATCATCAATTACGAAGAAAGACTCCCCCGTGATGAAACAGCTCGGTAAAGATAATGAAATGTTCTCGGATATCAAAAAGTTTATCGAGAGCCACACTGGCCTGCTTGAAAACAACAGTCAAGAGGGCAAGCCGAAAATAAACGGTCAGCTTGAATTGAAGAAGGATAAAAAAGATCCCGGAAGTCGACCTGGACATTTCACAAGGAAGTCGCTCAAGCCGAATAACTCTAGAGAAAATGCCACACCGAATACTTACAAATGGAAGAGTTCAAGAAAAATTGAACAGTATGTCGTCTTGGCCAATGGACATAAATTAAACGAATATAAGAGAGCGAAGAGAATAAAGAGTCAACAGAACCCTCCATTGCCACCCGATTGTGACATTGACAGCTTCCATGAACGAATCATTGCCATAGAAATGTGTGAATCTGCCAATAGGAAGCGGCAGAGGGTGCAAAATGTCAGCTACATGCCACATTTGCTGTCAAACAGCGCAGATTTAACTGGGGATGGAGATGTCAGCATTATGCCACACCTGATGTCAAACAGCATCAATTTAACGGACAATGAAAATGTGAGATTCGTGCCACAGTTGCTGTCGAACAGCACGAATTGGACAGGCGATGGACTTGTCAGCTGTGTGCCACAGTTGATGTCAAACAGCACGATTTTAACGGGCGATGGAAATATTGGGTATGCCCCGCAGTCACTGTCAAATAATACAAATTTAACGGGTGTTGGAACAGTCGGGTACGCCCCACGGACAATGTCAAACTGCACCAATTTATCGGGAGACGGGGGCCAGTCCACGGAAATCGCAAACCAAAGTGGACAGTCCCAAGTTGGAATCTGGTATCCTGATGTTCCGGTCAACATTGTCAAGACCCAGGAGCTGTACCGGAACATGAAGCAGACCAACTCCTTGATGGACGAAATCGTTACACTAACCAAGCAAGGACAGATCGCCACGGCCATTCAGAGATTCCGTTCCCAGGAGCAGTCGGTGCGGAATTCGAGCTCGTGTGAGGAAAATGACTCGGACAGCTCGTCGAGCCTGGAGAACAGCTTCGTGAGTGACGATGACGTCAGGGCGACGAAAGGAGCGTATTTGCCTTACATGGATTGTGAAGACCGGGACGTTGGCGACAGCGAGGCGTTTCTCTCTCCGAACACAACCTTTTTCGACCAGATCGATGTTATTCTACAGGGGAACGACAACATCAATGACAACAAAGGCACGGAGTCTATAGGGGACATTGCCTCGGGGCAATGCAGCGGGAACACCGATGAAAAACTAAAATCTGTCATCCATCATAATATTGAAAAGGCTGGCATGTGTCATGGTCTTGCCATAAAGTACCCCAAAACTTTCGATTTTACCAACAGAGCTAAACCGTCGGAAGTTGAGCAGTGCAATTTCAGCCACGAGCTAACAGACAGAGACGGAGAGGCCAGCAATAACGTGAGATCTAGGCATTCCGTCAGTCCGAGTCCCTCTCCCAGGGCGATGCCATTTCAAAGCCACTTAGGGGCCGGGGGCAAAGCTGTGAAAAGAAAACGCGACGGCGCCATGCCTTACACAACAAGTAGGACGAGAATGTCCCCACATTCCTCTCGCTTAGATCGCTCCACCAGCAGCAAGGGAAGCAACTCCCACGTTCGCAGACACGCTTCCGGAGACAGATCGCAGAGTGCCTGTAAGCCGAAACCACGACAGCGCAGTCCGAGTGCGCATACAGTCTCCGAGGCGGTGGACCTACAGAATGGCAGTGGCTTTAACAGGGCCACCAGTAAAAACAGCACGTCGGAGAGCACTAGTGCACAGCCCGGGGCAGCCGAACCTGCAGGGGAGAGGCCCAGGCTCACATCGGATGACACACTTTCAAGCAGTGTTACCGAGGACACGCATAGAACAAACACGGATACAAACAAACCTTCGAAAAATGATAAATCCTCCGGCAGTTGGAAAAACATGACCCGTTGGAGGCCCCCTGATGATATGGACACAGAGCCTGATGTTCAGTCGGTCTCCAAGCAACAAGAGGCCGAGGTACAGCTGATGGATATGTTGAAAAAAAATCCTAACTCTTCCAACGTTGAGCTGGCCTCACAAATACGAGATAAAATACCGCCAAAGAATCTGAAGTACGTTGAAGCCAGACCCAGGTGGAGAAGCCCCCGCGGTGAATTACGTCACCAGGCTAACTCTAGCAAAATGAAGGTGGGTAGCAAGTCGTTGAAGGGCAAGGACGTCAAACAAAAAAAGGCTACGCCCCAGAAGGGAAAGCAGTCCCCATCTCGCAGTCAAACTTCAAATTACTCTACCAGGAGGCACACGGACACCATCGTCACGAACTACGACAGCAACAAGTTTCGTGCCATGTTACAAGAGCCGAAACGCCAAGAGCCCCAATCTCAAGAAAACAAGCTAACACAAGGCGGTGGCCAAGAGGGTCCTCAGCACATCACGCCGCAAGAAAGTAAACACCCAAGCAATACACACCAAGATTCTAAACACGCGCACAATGCAGCTGTGGATGCCAGGCAACTGCATGGTGCGCTAAATGACACCAGGCAGTTTGGAGGTGCACACCAGGAAGGAAAACTTTTGAATGGAGCATACCAAGAGAACAGGCAGCCCACGGCGACCAATGACGAAGTGAAGGAGAAACCTGTCAAAACCGAAGAGAAGAAATCTGAAGACAAAAAACGCCAACCTGTCAGGTATTCAACGGTCAATTACAGCCCAGCAAAAGATAAAATCGCTGCGAGAACCACAGGAAAGGACAAATCTCAAGGGGAGGCTAAGAAACGAGACAAAAAGTCCCCTCACAACGACACGCGGGTAAGAGCGAAAAGTCCCATTCGAGGAAAAGGATATAGCAAGTCGGAGCATTTCATGAAAAATCGCGTTCCTGGGACAATCTCCCCCGTTTCCGAAGCCGGTGTAGGCAGCACAAGGCCTCAGTCAATAGGATCCAAGTTCCGAGCCCTGGTGCCGGACAAGGTCACGGCAACCCGCAGCCAGGCGGCAGCTATAAAAGAAACCACGTCACGTGCTTCAATTTTAAAACCCAAAAAGGAAGAGCGCCAAAAACCGAACACCAAAAAGCCAGACCAGAAGAAAGTTAAAAGCGAGGTGGACAAGGCAGTTACTAAGACGTCCCCAAAGCAGCACGAACAGATGAGAGAAATCGAGGATCAGAAATCCACAGAGCCCACATCAAAAGCCTACGACATCCCGCCTTCCATTTTGAACGAGGGGGGTACACTTTTGGACACAGCGTCCCGGGTGTGGAAAACCAAAAGAGAATCGGCTGAAGACGCCAAAGGAAAGGAGCCTTACCTTCACCAATTCAGATCCTACACACCAAGCCCTACATTAGTTAAGCCTAAACACAGCTTTCACAAAATAGAAACGCCTTACTTTGGCACCAAAGCCAGACGGTCAGATTCGGAGCTAAGTGCCAGCGGGAGTGGAGACTTTTTTCAGTCCAGAGCTGGGAACGTAGAAAGACATCGCGTTTCTAGTCCCACGTCGTATCAATATTCATCCGCGCCACAGAGAGAGGACAGCTGGTTTCCTGGGTATGTTAGGCGAGATTCTCCAAAAGCACAGAGCAACTCCTACGGCACGGAGTCTTACAGAAGCCAACCTTCCGAAAAAGTATATGCTTCCGAGGACTCTTACTACAGCTCCCCCAACGAGTATTCGTCCAGACGAAACACAGATAGCATGTACTCGAGGCCGCAAGATGACACAGATTATTCCACGTACGCTGATTTCAGGCAAAAGCTTTCCCACCACGCCGTCAGCAACAGTAACCTTTCAAATATCTCGTCTGCGGTGAGATCGAACTACGCCGCGGCACAACCCAAGCCAAAACCCAGGGAGCCGCCTCAGCAGACGGTTGTCAAAAATTCAAAATCGTATGGGGCGCCTACTCAACTCTCGAAAGAGTCGAAAGAGTCGAAAGAGCCAACAAAGAAGTCAACAAAGGCACCGACTCCCGAAGCGCTGTCCCCGAGTTTTTTACCTCAAGAGGAGACACCGACCGAACATTCCTATTCAGCGCCAGAGCCCGAAAAGAAACCATCAACATCGGACGGATCCTCTTTCCAGTTGGGAATGCTGTCCAGATTGTTCAGCACATTCACCCGTCAAAGCGCACCCCCGGCTCAAACGCCCTCACCCGAACGGAGCAGCATTAAAGAAAGATCCGGGGGCGCGGGCAAGAAGATGTCGGAAAACCGTAACTCGTCCAACAAAGGTAACGCTAACAGAAACAACATCCGGGGTCTGAAGGGGAAGAGATCAAATGCTGAAGCGATTTATCTCCAGGAGGTCCACGTACCAAAGGTCGACACGATGGTATTTCAAACAGAAACGCTGATGAATTTCAATTCAAACGCCACCGTGAGTTATCTCAAAAGAAATGACGAGAGCGTTGCCGAGGAATCGCCAGTAGTTTACCCCGATGAACTGGTGGACAACAAAGGTGAAAACACTACCACGGCTCTTCTGGTGGACTACACGGGAAATACCAATTCCAACGCGGAAACCAGGAAGAGGAGAAGGGATGATTGCTTAAATCAAAGCATGTCAGAAATCGGAAACAATTACGATGACGTGGAGTTCGATCGCTTTGAGGAGGCGAGGCGAAGAGACCCCGAACAACCGATCTACCGTGTGAACAAATGCCTCGCTCGGCTGGCAGTCTGCGCCGAGTCCAGTGCGGACGCCAGCAGCACTCTCAACACTTTGCTGGAGTGGAACATAGTACTCCTCATTGTCATCTTTGTACTATTTATAGGACTCCTTGTGCCCGGCTCTTTACATAACATCATCACGTGCCCCATCCCTTCCATGAGCAACGCGATTCACGCACACTTCCTGGAGCCCCTGGGCCTAGACTTGATCATTGCCCGGTGGATAGAACCAACGAAAAATTCGTTCTGGCAGTTTCAGTTTGGAGCCAAAGAGCCGACAAAGGGCATTTTCTACTCCTTCCTGTACCAGGTCATAGTGGTTTCGGTGCGCATCATTTTGTACGTGATGATCTACATCCTCATACCGATCCTGTCCGTGCCTTTCTTAATAATCGGCCCCGTCATCAGCGCCTTGACCAACGCCACCTCGTGCACCGTGAACACCATCTGGAACACCATCTACGCCACGTTTGGCAACAGCCTGGACTACTTGCTGTCGTCATCCTCGAGCTACGGGTCGGACAAGGAGTTCTCTGACATGAAGTCGTATCCTAACTACGCCGCAGCGTCCAGCAATGAGGCCAATGACGCAAGGGACTACGGAGATGTGACGAAAAACCTACACAGCCTCCGGAAGCACGGCAGCTTCCTGTTCTACTTTGGATTCGATCAGACCAGCGACAAGTGCACATATTCCTTCGTCAAGGCCACCTACCTTT